GAGAAGACTTTGGGCAAAGATCATCCAGCGGTTTGTATACATGCAGTGTCATATTTTTATTTACGTTTTTCACTGATTATTTATTTATTTATTTATTTTCAACTCATTCTAATGTTAAACTCAACAGGAAAGTTTTTAAGACCTGGCTTATCTCTAAACAGTACAGGTAGGAGCCACGATATGATATATTTCATTTTCTCTTAAAGATTTAACGTGTTTTCTGAGCATTGTATTTGATTCTGTTTCACGACAAATGACTTGCACCTGATTTTTTGGATCAGATTGCATGGATTTTCTATGTGAAATTAATGTGAAGAAATAATTGCTCACTCAAATGAATTTAATAACTCAGATTAAAGGTGAATGTCTGATCTGTTTTACTTTTAAATGAAACATAATTCAAATCACGCTTTTATATTCAGTGTTTGAAATGAATGTGATACCTCACTTTATGTGGGTTGAAGTGGGGCAAATCTGAATATAGATTTGAGAAATATCTTTTTAAGAGTAGAAAGTAAAAAGAAAATGTGTATCCATTGTGACATCTGAACAAAGTCAAAGTATTCCTTTTTTCATGCTTTTACATATATATGCATTCAATATTTTTTTTTTCCTTCACTTGCTTTACTTCAAGATCTCTTCCTCTGCCATGGAAGATTTAAAAACATCAATGCATTGCAGATATATTTATTTTTCAGGTCTTTATACCAGCAAATTTCAGTGTAATTAATATTTCTCTACCTGTTGGTAGGTGGCAGCAACTCTAAACAACCTTGCAGTGCTTTATGGTAAACGTGGAAAGTACAAGGAGGCTGAACCATTGTGTAAGCGAGCTCTGGAAATCAGAGAAAAGGTATGAGGAAAAATACAGCACCTTTGAATGAATAATTTTGGGCGTGAAACATTTTGCGTAGGGAGTATGTGTGTGCGTGGTGGGTGAATGTGCTGTATTTTGGTAAGGCAGACCTGCCAGAGAAACCGTAGACTTGGCAAGAACATAGTAGTTACATCTGTAGTGCAAAACGTTTGAATCCCCATACTCTTGCAGAGACTTTTGAGAACTCTGGTAATATTCTGAATTCTGAAGCCTGTCATAAATCTCCTTGTCTACCTTTCTTCCCTCTGCCTCCTTTCCCTCCCCACTGAGAGAGAGGTAATCTTGGTTTTGACAAGATCTTTGAAATAAAACAGAAACATAATTAAAAATTGTGAAGTAAATTATTCTAACTAGGTGAATATTCGTTCTAGTTTGTGTGATTGAGTGTTTGTATCTCCAGCTTTTTCATATAATATAATGTAATCATATTACTTAAATTATTCTTGTTTTGAGTTGTTCTGTAACATTGTCAATTATAATTGATTTGAATAATTTGCATACTTTTTATATGCAAAGTTTGCTTTCATCATCCTCATACTGTAGTTGAAGAGGATGAAAATTTAAAGGGGCTTAAACATAGTGCAGTTTTAAGCCCTGATACAATGATCGCAGGATCTTTTAATTGTGAGGTGTTTCATTTTTAGGTCTTGGGGAAAGATCACCCTGATGTTGCCAAACAATTAAATAACCTGGCTTTGCTATGCCAGAACCAGGGTAAATACGAAGAGGTAGAATACTATTATCAGAGAGCACTGGAGATTTACCAAACTAAGCTGGGACCAGATGATCCAAATGTTGCAAAAACAAAGAATAACCTGGTAAGGTATTTTTAAAGTAAATCTAAAAATAGTACATTCTTTTTTTTTTCTAATGGATTGATGTGTATGTACCTTTGATCAGCATTTATTGTATTTATTTTTTTATCAAACTAATTAGAACAATGTGCTGATGTCTTTCTTTGGGGCGGTGTATTTTGTTTTTAGGCATCCTGCTATCTAAAACAGGGCAAATTCAAGCAAGCAGAAACTTTATACAAAGAGATTCTTACTCGTGCTCATGAACGGGAATTTGGTTCCGTAGATGGTAAGAAACTTAATCCCTAGAATTTTTTTTTTTATAATAGAACTGAGAATCTGTAGGGGATTAATTGTACCTTTATATCTCTTCAAGCAGGCGATTTTAATTCTCAAGGATGAAATTATAGATGCACTAAAGTACTGCAAAACCTATCATAGGAAAGCATTTAGATTGCTCAATAACATTTAATTCAAAATGAGGGTTTTTTCTGGCATGTAGAATACTTAATAAGTTTATATTTTATAGACTGGATTTCTGCTTCATTTATTTTATGCCAAAGAGAAATACCAAATTTGGTAATTTTATAGAGACAGAAAACTGCTCATCATTTTCCAGTCACAGGAATAAATCAGTACCGGATTCTTGATGACATAATAGATAAACTGATGAAATGATCCATTGAATCAACCATTAAAACAACTAAAAAACTGGGGGGAACACCCTTAAATTGTAAGTTATACTGTGTGTTGAAGTTAAATGCATTTCATCATCTGTATATCACAGTGAAGAATCTCCACTGCACTGCATGATGGTAGTGATGTACCATTTACTAAACGTCAAAACAGTCGTTATGATAAAAGACATAAATGTATATTTTCTAATAAATAAGTAGGCACATGCCAAACTGTATCCTGATTGTATCTGTGTATCCTGACATCAGAGCTTCTAAGAAGTAACTCTGTTTCTAACGTCAAATAAGAAAGGACAGTATTGTAAAGCTACTGTGATGAAGAGTGTGTGTTATTTTTCTGTTGCTGCTTTCTGTTGTGTGGACAGTAGGTTTTGTTTAATAGTAGTAGTGTTTTAAGTGTGTGGTTCTCAGCTGTGTGGTAGAAGGATGAAAGTTAAACTGAATATTTTGCAGATTTATAGTATAATATATTTTCTTTTATGTTTCATCAGATGAAAATAAGCCTATTTGGATGCATGCTGAAGAAAGGGAAGAATGCAAAGTAAGGACATTGTAATAAAACTTTTGGGGGAGCTTCTACTATTTAAGATGCAGATTAGTTAATTTTCTTTTTTACTTTTGCTTTAGGGAAAGCAAAAAGATGGCTCATCTTTTGGAGAATATGGTGGCTGGTACAAAGCTTGCAAAGTTGATAGGTCAGTGTTTTCTTTACAGGATTTTGACCATGGGGTAATATCCAAAAATGCAAGGATAAAGCATATTTAAAAGCTAAGCAAAATCAACAAATGACTTATGGCTTTTATTTGCTACAAAACCTACAGTGTTAGAAGTTCAGGCCCAATACTGGCTTCCAGGAAGCCAATAGTGTTTTCCAAGTCCTGAGGCTGCTCTTAATCTAGGCCAGGTAGATGTAGTGAATTTTTCTGTCACCCGCTGTCACCCACCCACTTTTCTAATGTGAGACTTGTTAACAGAATCTGCCATATTTTTCCCTTCATTTTCATAGTTCAACTCTAGTGCGAATGCACAGAAACTGAGAATAGGTACTAAGTAAAGGTTGATAAAAGGAATTGCTCATTTGTTTTGTGACTAATACTGCAGTAACAGATGCTGTTTGAAATGACAGGCGTTTTTTCCTGGAAGCTTTGCAATTATTCAGCCTGACACACTCAGATTGAATTAAATTTTCATCTCTGGAGGTTGTGTCTGAACAACACAAGCCCAAAGCACCCTGTTTTTGTGCTGAGTGGCTCTAGAGACTAGTTACCAACATTCAGTTTCAGGGCTGTTGACTAATCGTAGTGGGAGCTGTTAATGCCCTTTGAAAAATGTTATTTTTAAAAAATCTTGGGTAAATAAAGTATACTTCAGAATAAAATTGTATAATAGAGGTTATGATGATTCCAAAATATTTAAAATTTAAGTTTATATTAGTTTGTAAGTTGAGAAGAATTTAATGTGTGTGTGTATATATACCTTTTTTTGGTGATAGTCCAACAGTTACAACTACCTTAAAGAACCTTGGGGCACTTTATAGACGGCAAGGTAAATTTGAAGCTGCTGAAACGTTAGAAGAGGCAGCAATGCGATCTCGTAAACAGGTAAGCATGAGAATTTCCCTTGATGGCCACAAGCAGAGATGATCATGTTCAGATTTTCAACCTAATTTTACTTATTATGCTTGTACAATGCTTTTAGCTGTACAATATTGGGTGCTTTTTTTTTTTTTTTAATGTGTTCTGATATTTGCCTTTGTTACTAAAGAAGCCTTGGATTTCAGTCTAAACTGTTAACAAAATGACACCATCTTTGCTCTTGCAAACTGGTTAACTGCTAGGGCAGTGACATCAAATACTCAAGCATGAATCAAAACAGGAATGAAATTATGTGCAAAATAGCAGAAAATGCTGTCTCAGCCAGCAGTCCTCAGCTGAGTAAGTGTCCTAGAAAAGCTGTAGCTAAAAGAAAGTGGTCAGCTTCTGGCTGATGGTGACTAGTCTAGTATAGGAGCTGCTTGTTTCCACTGCTAGAAGAACGTTAGAAATTTATCGGTTACTGTTTCTGGTTTGCAAACTGATGGAATGCATGTTACTGCTTGAGAGGGACTATTCTAATTCTTTTAATGTGCAGAAGTTCTGCGCTGTCTCTGCAGTCTCAAATCTATTTTTTCAAGTAACTCTTTCTCACTGTCTCAGGAGGTTCTCGCTGTCAGGAGGTGGGGAAAAGACTTATTTCCTACACTTTTAGATTATTTGATATATGATGTCTTGTGTAAAAGTATATGAGATACTGAATGAAAGAACAGCAAATGAGGCTGTTCAGTTTAAATTGACAAGCAAAAAAAAAGAAAAAAATGTAAATGAACAGAACCCAAAAGTTGTAAAGCTTAAGTTCTAGTTTTTCTTTTATTTCTTTATTTCTTTTTTTTTTTTCTTGTAGAGGGGAGCTTTTGTTTTTGTTTTAAAAAATTGTGTCTTAATGCTTCTGTATAAAATTCTAATTGTAAATTGAAGAAAGCTGGTCTAGAATGGGCCCACAAAAAATGATGGACCATGTCTTTATGGATAATGATTACTTTATTGATTTTTTTTAATTATTATTATTTATATTTTTATTTTGCAGCGGTTCTTTGATATATACGGTGTTGTCAAATCTTTCTTCCTTAAAAAATGAAAGAAAACTAGTGAACATTTTGCACATGAAAGGAATGAAGCCATTAAGATAAAAACATGAACTGGCAGGAAAATTCTTCATCAAGAAAAATTCAAGGTGGAGGGGGAAGAGTGGTTGATACAGTCACTTTTTTCTTTTAACTCAGAAGTATTTTTAGCTGTTTTTTCTAAAAGTTCATTTTGATTTGTCTTTCATCCGAATGTCTTTGAAAAGAAGAAACGTGTATTGCCTCTTAAATAAAATTTTTGATATGGTTCCTAGTTTTACTGTTATCACTACACAATATGATTCTTAATAAGAGTAAATACAAGCAATAAGAGTAAATGCAAGGCTCTGCAGAGCCTGCTGGAGACTTGCTGCCGCTACTTTACTTATACTATGTTTTTGCTGCTACTACTTCATTTTTGTTAAATATGCCTCTGATTTGGTATAATTCACCACCAGTACCATAGTATGTCACATTAAATAAAAGAGGTAGGTTCGGACATGTTAGGATCAGTGCAATCTTTTTACCAGCTTTTGACCCCACCTTTCTACTGTAAGTGATTGAAAGACAGCAGGGTTAATGCACTTCCCCTTGTAAGCTAAAAGCTAAGAGGTCCCCAAGCTGCTGTTTCCAGGCTAGGAAAAGCACCAGTCTTGGTCTCCTGTGTGTGTATTTTGTTGAGTTTAGCTGCTGGATGTGCTTGCTTGATTTTTACGGGCTAGTGGAGGTCTTTCCAGGCTTGCTTGATTCTGCCCTGTAGGGGCAAAGTGCTTTTCCTTATCCCTTTGGCTTTTTAACATGTGAGGGAAGTAAGAGATGGTAGCTTTGGAAGAGAGCCTAGATTCCATATGTGGTATTTGTCCTGTTAAGTGTTGATTTGGGATATCTGTTATGCTTTCCATGTTCTGTATGCTAAAGGGTCTGGGAGTGAGGCCTTTCTGAGTTCACACTTCTTCATTATCTGGGTTCCAGCCGCTTTTCTTTCCCATATGCTTCTGGGAAAGTGAAAATACGGGGCCATTGCGTATTAGTTTGTGCTTCCTTTTGTATTGAATTCCATTTGCTAAGGCTATTCTGCTCTTCAAATTGAGGAAAGCAGCTGGGGAAGGGGGGGAGGTGGTCTGAGAACCTGATTTCTTCTGTCATATAAAAAAAAAATTAAAAAAGCTTTCAACAGCCTTCATTCATGTAGTTGCTTTATATTTAGATGTGTATGTGTCTGTTCTGCTTTTAGCGCTGCCAGTAGTTTGCATTCCAATCAGTAGTAGTCTAGTTATTTGTTCCTGGTCGCTGCAGTGCTTGCATAAACTAACAAAGTGCATTTGTGCATTACTTCCCCCTTTTTCTTTTTTTTTTTTTCTTTTCTATTTTTTTTTTGACTAGTTGATCACTGTGAATAGTAATGTTCTGTTATTAACACATTAGTGCTTGCCAAGGTGGGCCATTCTGAGCAAGTGATTCTAAAGCTGGACAATGAAAGATGCAGAATATTTTCTTATCTGTAAAGCACTGAGTTAGAATCTTTTCCTGTCAGCAAAGATTGTGATTTATTATCAAAATGTGTACAAGGGAAATGAACAAAGGATAAACATCATTTTGAGCTTTCCCGTTTTCCAATTATTTCTAGCTTCTCTGTTATTGATTTTAGTCTTTATTTTTAATACAAGATTTTCATCTAAGGTATTTTAGCAGTGTAATATATTTAAATGATTATTTGGTAATCCACAGGCATTCTTTAACTGAAGTGGGCAGGTTGTATTGACCATATATCTAGTCTGTTCTGTTGAGCTTGCTTTCTACTCAATTTCCTTCTGAAAGATAAATTATGTTACTGTGCTGTGTCATGTGTCATTATTTTCTGAACTTCAGTTTTGGAACTGAAACACAGGTGTGAATAGATTATTAGATATTCAGACCTAATTCACCTGCAATTTTTCTTTTTCAAAAGGTGGGTAAATATTACAACATTTGATAGGTGGGAAACTGAGGCTTGTGTTGCCACTTGGTGATACAAAATTGCTTGAAATACTAAGCTGGTGGCCAAAGGAGTTCAGCTAAGAGGCACACACATCTTGAGGCTTTGAAAAGCAGCAGAACTGGAAAAAAGAGCAGTTCCAAATTCAGCATCTCAGCTTTTCCTCTTCATGCTACATTGGTGCCTGCAGAGTATAAAGGCAATTCATTTTGCCTGAGCTTTGGAAGTAGAAACAGAGCAATGGAGTTACATGCTTGGTTGACTGCCAGTACAGTTCTTGTTGTAGATCAGAATTCAGTTTGTAATAAAATAAACCTTTTCCCATTTTTTTCTGATTCTCAGGGTCTTGACAATGTTCATAAACAGAGAGTTGCTGAAGTGCTGAACGACCCTGAGAGCATAGAGAAGAGGCGCAGCCGGGAGAGCCTCAATGTGGATGTGGTAAAGTACGAGAGCGGTCCCGACGGAGGCGAGGAAGTGAGTATGAGCGTAGAGTGGAATGGGGTAAGTACAGTACACAGTTGAAGAAAGCAGCGTAGATAAATTATCACCATAACAAACATGGTTGTCCATTCACCAGCCTATTGTTTCTGCAGGAGTTTCTTGTTTATCTACTTTATATTTTTTAATTTTATGGAACAATTGAGAAATAAGGAAGATTATCGTGCTTTTTGTAAGAATTTGTAAAAACAAACAAACAAACAAACAAAAAAAGCTTCTTAAATTTAAAAAAAAATTCTTTGTGTTGTTGTCCTCAATAGTAAAATTTCCTTAAGTATTCTGAGCAGTAGTATTTAGCTCTGATATGGTTAATGCTGATTGAGTGTCTTGGTATAGTCTGGTGTATCACTAGTTTCTTTTTACTGGTAGAAAAATTCTGGCAATTAACTTTAGCTTTTGTCGTTTTGATGTCATGTTTGCCCGCAGTTTAAATGTTCTTTAAAAAAGCTGCAGCTGCCTCAGCTGGAATAGCAAAGAACACTTGCCATGGAGATGCATTAATATGTTTGTGGTTTGAAAGTAAATGAAATCGATCGGTTTAGAGTAATTCCACTCTCCTCACCCAACCTGCTAGAAGAAGCAATCTCTCTCTTCAGGCTGATCTACAGTCTATTTTAGTATGCAGTGCCAATATGTAACAATGTGATAGTAGATTCACATTTCTAAAGTGAAATATTAATATTACTTTCCTGCATTAAAACTTGAGTAGAGTTGGGACTTATTTCCCTTTCTGATCTCTGGCTTCAGTGCATAAGCGCATCTATAACATGATTAAACGTGCGTTTTTCTAACTGTTATTTTACTTTATTTGAAAGACAGTGTGAACTTTCAGTTATTATTTGCTTAGTTGTTTGCTTTCGTCACCAGCTTTCCCGTGCTTCATCCCATTGCTGGCAATGGGATATGTGTTGCACTGTAAACTAACTCTCAGCTGTAGTTCTGCTTAAAATTCCTCTGGATTATAAAAATGGTATGTTTGCCTGCTTTGCTTTTTGGGAGGGGAAGTAGCCTACTTTGCAGGACAGAGTGTTCTGAAGTTTCATTTCTGATACAGTTGCTATTAGTAATTTAGCCACTCGTGACAAAGTTTAGAATTTCAAAGATATCCTAAATAAAACTTACACTGGTCAGTTTTAGTGGAGAATGTTCTTTTCATCTCTGCTTTTGTCTCTTTATAATGGTTTTCTTGGCATTGGTGCTCTCTCTCAGTGCCATGGCAGTCAATCAGCATGTATTGTGAATAATACTGCATCATTAATAAACCCAAGTAAGGTTGGATAACTCCCTTTTATTCTAATTTTGCCCATTCAGCATTAGAACTGTGTACTGTACTCCTCCCTTTATTTCTGCTATACTTTGCATGACTATTTGTTCTAAATGGATAAAGCTTTTCATTAATGACATTAATTAATCAAGCATGCAGGTTTTGGATTGAAAATGGCTTCTGGAAAAGCAATAGACAGTATTTCTAGGTCAATATTTGAATGAAACTCAGTGATAAAACTGGTCTGAAAACCTAAACTTTAACCACTTAAGGCCTTTTCATCCATCATTTTTTAAAAGTACATTAAAGTGGCATTGCTTTATTCTGATTTTCAAGATTTACAGTTAATACATTTTTTTTTTCTCTTTAGAGAAGGTATTTCATATTACATGTCCTACATAAAGTGGGCAACTCTCTCTCCCTCCACCCTGCTAGTGTTTCTAGCTTAGTGCTGTTCCTCCCTGTACTTACGTGGTGTAGATTTACCCTCCTGTGTTTCCTCCAGACAAAATATTCTGATTCACAAAGTAACGTAGCCTGCCTTTCCCATTTAAATTCTGAAGTGCTGAAGCTGACTTTTGATCCTGGCTGTCAGAGAGAAGAAGTAGAGTATATAGAACAAATTCCATCAAAAAGTTTTCAAGATCACAGATCCTATTGTAATTAAGTGACTTCTGTATGTAGACCTAATCCCTGTATGCGCTCAGGGCTCTATAATGTCTTGCACTTTATAAAAAGAACTAAAATACTTGTTAAAATAGATCTGTCCCTAAGTAGTAAAATGAGCTTTCTAATTGAGGCTGTGGAGTGCCTGTTCATGTGTTTCTTCCAAAGTCCACCTCATAAAATTAACAGTATATACTTCTAAATGCAAAGAAATAGTTGATCTTAAAAATTGAAGTTAGAAATTTGGAAAACTGCCCTTCTAAATATTTTAGACTGTTTTTCACCCTGAGATTTTTATCCCTTTTCATGTTTTTATATTAAAAAGTAAGACAATGGGGGAATATATAACTGGTGGGGTTTTTTGATTTTTTTTTTTGATTTTATTTTTTCAAAATTTGATACAAACAGTCTTAATGTAATGTTTGTAGCATAAAGAAATATGTTTTTTTATTCTAACCCATAACCCTAAACAGGCAGGTTTTGGGGCACACAAATCTATTTTTAGGATGAAATGAAAGCAACAAATTTCAATACCATACAGGAGGTGAGAAGAGTTGCTGTTTGACTGAAAGTACCAGCCTGTCAGAGGCTACGTAGTTGGTGGCTACAGAGTAAGGAGGCCATGGTGGTGGGGAGGGGTTGGGGAACGAGGTGGGTCTCGTTCCCTGAGTGAAATAAATATTGACAATTATAAATTGCCCTTAAACTGTGCATTTCAGATTTTTGGTGGGTGTACACTAGACCTATTTTATTACTGTTATACCTGAGCTCATGCATGGTGTTCGTGTTTTGTGAATCATGCAGTTAGTGTTTAACTTAGCAGTCTACTACTTTTATTTCAGATTAGAAGACAAAATGCCCAAACGTATCAGCTTGCTTTCTTTTTTTTTTTTTTTTTTTTTTTTTTTTTTCTTCCCCTGAGCATACTCATATAGAAGTCAAATCAGTACCTACCAAATGTCTCTACCAAGTGTTCACTGGACAATTATGACCAGAACAATATCCTGGTTTAAGACCATAAAGAATATTTAGACTTATTATTGAATTTTGATGTCAATTTAATGCAGTTTCATTCCTAAAAACATTTTTTAAAAGTATGCAATTTATTTTGAAACACGATTACCCTTTGATTGGATTCTAATGTTCAGATCACTGTTAGTGAGGCATTTTGCTAGTTAAGAGCATTTAATTACTGATAATTCCAGTTGATCTAGGTAAAGGCTCTAGAACAGAAATCTGAAGGAATCGGTCATGATTTCTGTACTGCCCGTGGGAAGTTGGTAAATGAGAAGGGGGTTTCTGTGCTTTCACCTGACAGACTGCACTAGGGAAAGTAGCAAAGCTTCTGTATCGATTTTATATATATTCAGATATATATGTGTATGCATATATATGGGTGTATATGTGAGTACTTTTAACAATGTTCAAGAGACTAAAATGACAGTTACATGGATATTGTTTCCTTAAAGGAATGAACAGATTTTTGTCTGGAGGTTAAGGGAAGACCTCATTCTTTTTACAGTTTTTGGTAGAGAAAAATTTCCTAACAGAAGTTAAAGCTGAAATGAATGCACCTTGCTCTGTTCCTTTTTTTCTTTGATTTTTTTTTCCTTTTTTTTTCTCTTTTCCCCCTCATTTATTTTTACTTTTGTTTTAGGATCATCTAAAAAAAATCCTTTTCTCATACACAAAATGTATTTATAGTATTTAAGCTCTCCCAGTTAAAAATACTTTGTAGAAATTAAAGAATGCATGGCATCTTCCATGCAGTTTGGTATGTTGTATTAGCAAACTAGCCTAACCTTTATAAAGATAAACCTCAAGATAATTGCAGTAGCCTGCACTTTGTACTTAAGTGCAGTCAAAATCCAAATACTTGTTGTGAAAATCATTTTGAATAGGACCTAGAAATACTGTAAACGTGATTGTTCAAAATTGAAAACTGTTGAATTTTTCCCAACAGTTTCATTCAGTTTTTCTCTCTCCGTTTCTGTCTGACAGGCCTAGATGCCTTTTGTGATTCTTATACTGTCTCCTGCATGACGGGCGTGCACCATCTTCAAGCTTTAACTTCTCTCTCCAGTACTGACTGCTGTGTTTTAGCAAATCCCTTAAGATCCTTGTCAGAGCTACACTTCCTTGTAAACTGGCCATTCCTTCAGTGCTGGTGTCTCTTTTTGGTTTTCTATTTCTGTACATGTGTAGCTTTGCCAGATATGTATCTACTCATACAAAATGTTACTACAACCATATGCTCTGTAATACATAGGTTAAAAAGTAACAATGAACTTTATAAGTAGCTGTTCACTGCAGGGGAAAAAAAAAAGTAGTTAAAAGTATCACACAAGGTATTATTGAAATGGCATGATGGTGATCTCTACAGGGGAAAAAACAAAACAAACATAAACATAAGGCATGTTCTTCAAGTGCTTTAAAATGTATTTAGAGACCTATTACGTGGTTAACATCAATATGGAACTCTGGATGTCTTCACTTATGGTTATTCTGAAGTAGCATTGCTGTTTAGTCTTTGTGTGAAATTTTAGCAATTATGCTTTTCTCTACTAATCTTGGTGGTCAGTGATTTGTGTATTTGTCTTTCTAACTTCTAATAAACTCACTCCAACTCAGGTGTCTGTCTCTGCTTAGTAGTGCTTTACTTTCTCCTTTCACAATTCTTCCTTTCATAATTGCCTAGGATTTCTCTGAGTAGCAAGTGGTCACTTCTAACCTTACTAAACTGTTCTAAAGAGTAAAAAATTATTTAAAATTGTGATTAGTGGAAATTTCTTTGATCAGTACAGCAGCGTAAAACACGAATGCAGTATACAAAAAGTTGCTTGTCATGTTTTACATTTACCTTGAATGGAGAAAGGTAAAATGATAAAAGCAATTTAACCATATGTTTTTCTGATCAGAAAATGTTTTGTTTAAAAATTTGATGAGTAAACAAACGTGTTTCAAATAATGCAGATGTTTAGCCAAAATAAAAAAAGTTTTGTTCTTGAACTCTGGAATGCTTGTGCTTGGGGCTTGTCCTCTGTTAAACTTGGTGCACTCACGAGAAAGGCAACATGGTGATGGTGGAATGTTAACGTGCTGTGGGCTTTGTTTTAATATGGATTATGGCTTGAGCATGCCTTCACGTACCTGAAATCCTTGCTACAGTTTCACAGAAGTATTGTTTTTATTAAAATAGCAGCAATGCTCTTGGTAAAGTTACATCTATATGGTATTTCTGTGTTTAGGTAATAGTGTTAAATCTATATTAGCAGTAAAAAAATATTTTGCTCAGGTAAATATTTTTCACCCAGGTTTGGGGGAGGGCAACCACCTCTTTCAGTTTTACATTTCTTCAATTTTTTTCAGGATGGCACTGGATCTTTAAAACGCAGTGGTTCCTTTAGCAAACTTCGTGCTTCCATTAGACGCAGAAGTGAGAAGCTGGTTAGGAAGCTGAAGGGTGGAAGCCCACGGGACGAGGAACCAAAGAATCCGGGGTAATTATCCATTCTTAGCTGTGCATTTTGGTCTTGTTCGCTGTCCCTCTGCAGCCTGGTGTGCTACATGGGGCAGTGTTCTCTGCCGAGCTACCACTGTGCATCGTAGACAACTCTAGTAAACAAGGAACTTCCCTTCTTAAACACAAATTGAAATAATTCCTTAACCGTATGATGGAAGTTCTTTAATGGCTGAGAAAGTGTATTTGCTTTCAAGAATTAACTTTAAGAATTTTAAGAATTTAGCTTCAATTTTAATTTTAAGAATTTAAGATTTTTTT